AAGATTTCTCACTTGTGCTTATTTCATACAAGCATTTTATGAATTTTTTAAGTATAAAGAAATAATGATTGATACAATTTTCATTTGAGAATTTTGTATGTGCATTGATTAATTTTTTGTGATGATTTTATTTAAAACTGATAATGAATTCTATTTATCTTTATCATAGTAGGTACAAATAAGGCTATAGATGGTATGACTTATTGAACAAGAAGTGTTAATATTCATTGGATTATTATTTATTCGAGATATAGGTTTTTTTTTAAATTATTATTAGCCACGCTTACATGGAGCATTTAGCCATCCACAACATTCCATTTTTTTATTCTACATTTTTTTTAAATTTTAATTTCTTATCGAAACACAATTATTTTTATTCTTCAATATTAAGGAATAAATTTTATTTTATTATGCTAATTCACTTTGATAAATCAGAAAAACCTTAGATGTAGAAAGGTGGAATCTGTTAATCATACAATCTGTTTTAAGGTTTTAAATTTTATCATGTAAGTTGTATCCGAAGTACAAAATTATTACTATTTCTTATTGTGAGCATCGGCTATTATTTTAGTAATGCATTTACAATGATATTCATCCTAATTTAATACTAATTTTCAAATTTTACAGGTTCAGGACAATGTTGTTTTTTATTCGTCTTGGAAAGCAAAATGATTAGCTTTGGAAATAATTTTGCAATTGAAATCACTTGGAGCCCCTGACAAATCTAGTGTTTATTGATAGAAGTTATGAATCTAAGGAAATTTATTCAATAACACAATAACTAGGTGTGAGTATCATTTTGCATTGAATTTTGTTAATTCAATCATTGCTTTTTGTATAAATCTTTTATCATTGATTTGCAATTATATTGATGTCCTTTTAACACTTTGCAGATTTAAATTTGCCCTCGGCGTCATCGCACTTTGGATGAAATATTTTATTGATTTGATTCATATAAAACAATTAAACCCTAGATACTCAATGATTAATTTTTTTTAACATTTTTTCTTAATTAAATATCAAATTTAATAAGACTTTGCATTTTATGATTCGAATGATTACTTGCATGGTAGCTTTCGTATGGATTAATATATTAAAGTGCATGAGTAGTTCTAGTTTTAATGACACTAACAAATACTAACAAAATAACCATCTATTCTATTGTTAATTAATAATGTAATCGTTTGAATCATTAAAATAATGCAATGTGTATTTATCATTCAATACGCTTTTTATCACTGCTTTCAATTCATAAATTCGTTTTGTATACATCCAAGTGCGAATTCTAAACCGTTGTGACATCAACACACAATGTACAAAGTCAAGAAAACTGTAGGAAGTGAAATGATCAAGTAATGTATGACAACTAGGTATATATTTGATTTATTTCATCAATTAATGATATATCATCAATTATGTATTCATCCATGTTCGTTTTTTAATTAGATTCACTTCTCCACTACTGAACCACCAACTGCTATCATCAACCCAACCGGCTTTATCGACTCTAGTCAATCAAACAGTAAGCTCATATCAAGTATCTATCAGGCTGTATGTATCCTTTCTCAAACATTTTAAAAGATGTATTCTAACCTTTTGTTTTTTTTAATTACAGATTCACTTCTCCACTACTGAACCACCAACTGCTATCATCAACCCGACCGGCTTCAAACAGTAAGCTCATATCAAGTATCTATCAGGCTGTATGTATCCTTTCTCAACATTTTAAAAGATGTATTCTAACCTTTTGTTTTTTTTTAATTACAGATTCACTTCTCCACTACTGAACCACCAACTGCTATCATCAACCCAACCGGCTTCAAACAGTAAGCTCATATCAAGTATCTATCAGGCTGTATGTATCCTTTCTCAAACATTTTAAAAGATGTATTCTAACCTTTTGTTTTTTTTAATTACAGATTCACTTCTCCACTACTGAACCACCAACTGCTATCATCAACCCAACCGGCTTCAAACAGTAAGCTCATATCAAGTATCTATCAGGCTGTATGTATCCTTTCTCAAACATTTTAAAAGATGTATTCTAACCTTTTGTTTTTTTTTTAATTACAGATTCACTTCTCCACTACTGAACCACCAACTGCTATCATCAACCCGACCGGCTTCAAACAGTAAGCTCATATCAAGTATCTATCAGGCTGTATGTATCCTTTCTCAAACATTTTAAAAGATGTATTCTAACCTTTTGTTTTTTTTTAATTACAGATTCACTTCTCCACTACTGAACCACCAACTGCTATCATCAACCCGACCGGCTTTATCGACTCTAGTCAATCAAACAGTAAGCTCATATCAAGTATCTATCAGGCTGTATGTATCCTTTCTCAAACATTTTAAAAGATGTATTCTAACCTTTTGTTTTTTTTTAATTACAGATTCACTTCTCCACTACTGAACCACCAACTGCTATCATCAACCCAACCGGCTTCAAACAGTAAGCTCATATCAAGTATCTATCAGGCTGTATGTATCCTTTCTCAAACATTTTAAAAGATGTATTCTAACCTTTTTTTTTTTTTTAATTACAGATTCACTTCTCCACTACTGAACCACCAACTGCTATCATCAACCCGACCGGCTTTATCGACTCTAGTCAATCAAACAGTAAGCTCATATCAAGTATCTATCAGGCTGTATGTATCCTTTCTCAAACATTTTAAAAGATGTATTCTAACCTTTTGTTTTTTTTAATTACAGATTCACTTCTCCACTACTGAACCACCAACTGCTATCATCAACCCGACCGGCTTCAAACAGTAAGCTCATATCAAGTATCTATCAGGCTGTATGTATCCTTTCTCCAACATTTTAAAAGATGTATTCTAACCTTTTGTTTTTTTTAATTACAGATTCACTTCTCCACTACTGAACCACCAACTGCTATCATCAACCCAACCGGCTTTATCGACTCTAGTCAATCAAACAGTAAGCTCATATCAAGTATCTATCAGGCTGTATGTATCCTTTCTCCAACATTTTAAAAGATGTATTCTAACCTTTTTTTTTTTTAATTACAGATTCACTTCTCCACTACTGAACCACCAACTGCTATCATCAACCCGACCGGCTTTATCGACTCTAGTCAATCAAACAGTAAGCTCATATCAAGTATCTATCAGGCTGTATGTATCCTTTCTCAAACATTTTAAAAGATGTATTCTAACCTTTTGTTTTTTTTTTAATTACAGATTCACTTCTCCACTACTGAACCACCAACTGCTATCATCAACCCAACCGGCTTCAAACAGTAAGCTCATATCAAGTATCTATCAGGCTGTATGTATCCTTTCTCAAACATTTTAAAAGATGTATTCTAACCTTTTTTTTTTTTTAATTACAGATTCACTTCTCCACTACTGAACCACCAACTGCTATCATCAACCCGACCGGCTTTATCGACTCTAGTCATCAACAGTAAGCTCATATCAAGTATCTATCAGGCTGTATGTATCCTTTCTCCAACATTTTAAAAGATGTATTCTAACCTTTTGTTTTTTTTTAATTACAGATTCACTTCTCCACTACTGAACCACCAACTGCTATCATCAACCCACCGCTTATCGACTCTAGTCAATCAAACAGTAAGCTCATATCAAGTATCTATCAGGCTGTATGTATCCTTTCTCAAACATTTTAAAAGATGTATTCTAACCTTTTGTTTTTTTTAATTACAGATTCACTTCTCCACTACTGAACCACCAACTGCTATCATCAACCCAACCGGCTTCAAACAGTAAGCTCATATCAAGTATCTATCAGGCTGTATGTATCCTTTCTCCAACATTTTAAAAGATGTATTCTAACCTTTTGTTTTTTTTTAATTACAGATTCACTTCTCCACTACTGAACCACCAACTGCTATCATCAACCCACCGGCTTCAAACAGTAAGCTCATATCAAGTATCTATCAGGCTGTATGTATCCTTTCTCAAACATTTTAAAAGATGTATTCTAACCTTTTGTTTTTTTTTAATTACAGATTCACTTCTCCACTACTGAACCACCAACTGCTATCATCAACCCAACCGGCTTCAAACAGTAAGCTCATATCAAGTATCTATCAGGCTGTATGTATCCTTTCTCAAACATTTTAAAAGATGTATTCTAACCTTTTGTTTTTTTTAATTACAGATTCACTTCTCCACTACTGAACCACCAACTGCTATCATCAACCCAACCGGCTTCAAACAGTAAGCTCATATCAAGTATCTATCAGGCTGTATGTATCCTTTCTCAAACATTTTAAAAGATGTATTCTAACCTTTTGTTTTTTTTTAATTACAGATTCACTTCTCCACTACTGAACCACCAACTGCTATCATCAACCCGACCGGCTTTATCGACTCTAGTCAATCAAACAGTAAGCTCATATCAAGTATCTATCAGGCTGTATGTATCCTTTCTCAAACATTTTAAAAGATGTATTCTAACCTTTTGTTTTTTTTAATTACAGATTCACTTCTCCACTACTGAACCACCAACTGCTATCATCAACCCAACCGGCTTCAAACAGTAAGCTCATATCAAGTATCTATCAGGCTGTATGTATCCTTTCTCAAACATTTTAAAAGATGTATTCTAACCTTTTGTTTTTTTAATTACAGATTCACTTCTCCACTACTGAACCACCAACTGCTATCATCAACCCACCGGCTCAACAGAAGCTTCAATCAAGTATCTATCAGGCTGTATGTATCCTTTCTTTCTTCTCAACATTTTAAAAGATGTATTCTAACCTTTTTTTTTTTTTAATTACAGATTCACTTCTCCACTACTGAACCACCAACTGCTATCATCAACCCAACCGGCTTCAAACAGTAAGCTCATATCAAGTATCTATCAGGCTGTATGTATCCTTTCTCAAACATTTTAAAAGATGTATTCTAACCTTTTGTTTTTTTTAATTACAGATTCACTTCTCCACTACTGAACCACCAACTGCTATCATCAACCCAACCGGCTTTATCGACTCTAGTCACAAACAGTAAGCTCATATCAAGTATCTATCAGGCTGTATGTATCCTTTCTCAAACATTTTAAAGATGTATTCTAACCTTTTGTTTTTTTTTAATTACAGATTCACTTCTCCACTACTGAACCACCAACTGCTATCATCAACCCAACCGGCTTCAAACAGTAAGCTCATATCAAGTATCTATCAGGCTGTATGTATCCTTTCTCAAACATTTTAAAAGATGTATTCTAACCTTTTGTTTTTTTTAATTACAGATTCACTTCTCCACTACTGAACCACCAACTGCTATCATCAACCCACCGGCTTTATCGACTCTAGTCAATCAAACAGTAAGCTCATATCAAGTATCTATCAGGCTGTATGTATCCTTTCTCAAACATTTTAAAAGATGTATTCTAACCTTTTGTTTTTTTTAATTACAGATTCACTTCTCCTCCACTACTGAACCACCAACTGCTATCATCAACCCAACCGGCTTTATCGACTCTAGTCAATCAAACAGTAAGCTCATATCAAGTATCTATCAGGCTGTATGTATCCTTTCTCAAACATTTTAAAGATGTAGTATTCTAACCTTTTGTTTTTTTTAATTACAGATTCACTTCTCCACTACTGAACCACCAACTGCTATCATCAACCGACCGGCTTTATCGACTCTAGTCAATCAAACAGTAAGCTCATATCAAGTATCTATCAGGCTGTATGTATCCTTTCTCAAACATTTTAAAAGATGTATTCTAACCTTTTGTTTTTTTTAATTACAGATTCACTTCTCCACTACTGAACCACCAACTGCTATCATCAACCCAACCGGCTTTATCGACTCTGATTAGACTGTAATCGTTCATGAAGGATCAGTCGTAAATAAACGTCTCTATGCTTGAGCTGGAACACTAAATTATGCACAAGTGGTTCTTTTTGTAACTGTTTAATCTTATGCATGTTCTTACCAGTAGTTTTACTAACTCATTAACAATACTAACATTTTACTAACGTAGTTTCATCAGTTGCTATAAAAACCACTTGTTGCAGTTTACGCATTGGGACATAGTGAAACTGCTCAGAAGATAACACTCGGTGAGTTACTTTTTATAAAGTATTATAGTAGTCTGAATTATTATTAATTACATGCTTTTGTTCACAGGGTAAACAATGACTGCTTCAGGATGCTCACACACCTGCCTGCATTGAACCTATCTTGCTGTCAGAAACATTAACTCAATGGTGTTCCTAGAGAAGATACACACATCAGCTGCGTTCAATCAAGGCTTACGACTTGGATACTTATAATATATTCATCTAATTATTAAATAAACACATTGTTTTATTAGTTCAATTTGTTGTTTGAATTCTCATTAATGCTTTACTTATAATATATTACTTAAATTATATGAATATTTTGAATTATTTTGATGTCATAGGTATAATAGAAGAATGTCATCCGTCAGTTGTGATAAATCAAGACAAAGTGAACTGATTGGCAACCGATTGGCTCCATTGTGGAGATTGCGGATACAGCAGTTCGGATATTAAAACTTTCGTTGTGCAAAGAAATATAAGTATTAAAATATTTTTATACTTGATATTTATACTTAAGAATTATGTTAAATAATTTTAGTTTATAGGCTTATTTGACGAAACTTTAGGCGGTCTTCTGAATGATTTGCACTCTGGTCTCACTTCACTTGAACGTCTTGCATTTTGGTCTCATCTTGCTCGAATAGCCTGCGGCCTGGTCTTGTACTTGTAAAGCCCCTGGTCTCTGTACTCATACCCTGGTGTCTCTGTACTTTTACCCTGGTGTCTCTGTACTTTTACCCTGGTGTCTCTGTACTTTTACCCTGGTGTCTCTGTACTTTTACCCTGGTGTCTCCGTACTTTTACCCTGGTGTCTGTCTCTGTACTTTTACCCTGGTGTCTGTCTCTGTACTTTTACCCTGGTGTCTGTCTCTGTACTTTTACCCTGGTGTCTCTGTACTTTTACCCTGGTGTCTCCGTACTTTTACCCTGGTGTCTCTGTACTTTTACCCTGGTGTCTCTGTACTTTTACCCTGGTGTCTCTGTACTTTTACCCTGGTGTCTCTTTACTTTTACCCTGGTGTCTCTTTACTTTTACCCTGGTGTCTCTTTACTTTTACCCTGGTGTCTCCGTACTTTTACCCTGGTGTCTCCGTACTTTTACCCTGGTGTCTCCGTACTTTTACCCTGGTGTCTCCGTACTTTTACCCTGGTGTCTCCGTACTTTTACCCTGGTGTCTCTGTACTTTTACCCTGGTGTCTCTGTACTTTTACCCTGGTGTCTCTGTACTTTTACCCTGGTGTCTCTGTACTTTTACCCTGGTGTCTCTGTACTTTTACCCTGGTGTCTGTCTCTGTACTTTTACCCTGGTGTCTCCGTACTTTTACCCTGGTGTCTGTCTCTGTACTTTCACCCTGGTGTCTGTCTCTGTACTTTTACCCTGGTGTCTCTGTACTTTTACCCTGGTGTCTCTGTACTTTTACCCTGGTGTCTTACGCCCATGCATTTGCCCTCCTATGGTTTCTTGCCTCTTGATTTGTATTCATGTAAATTGTTCACTATTTTGTTCAAATAGTTTCATATTTAGTTTATAGTATTTTAATTATTGTACAATATTGTTTTATTACAATATTAATTAATTTCTCTTACAGGGTTGTATCCAGTTGCTAATTCGACTAGTGATGCTCCGAAACTTTATCATGGATGGCTGGAACACTCATTCCCAAAAACAATCTACAAGTGGTTTTTGCTGCTGACTGTCTGCTGCGTATGCACCAGGATGATGGTTCGATTGATCATGCTGTCCCAAGTCAATTAATTGTCAAGATTCTGCTATATATACATAACATGTTTATATTATAATTAATAATAATGTTTGTAATAGTAGCAATTGTAAAATTAATCTTTGTAATAAGTAAAAATTATTAATTATAAATAATGTTCTATTGTAGTTAGAGTGATGAGAGTATTAGTTATAGTAATATAATCAATATTTGTAATGTAACGATCTAACCTATATATATATAAATCAAATAAAAATTTAACTTCATTTGTAAGTGTTTAATTTAATTTAATTTTTATCAATTTCAGTGATATATAATTGAACTTGTATATACTTGCTAATTTATTATCAACTATTAATATTCGAGTCAATTTCAATTGAGCAAATTTAAAGTTCAGTTTAGAAATCCACGTATTGAGTAAAAAGCCATGGATATATATGCATGAGTTTTTAGCATAAAACATTGAAAAACAAAATTATGTTTTTGACACCTTTAACTTGAGTGAAAATCCATGACTTTTTAAACAGTTCGAAGTGGAAAATATCAATATTTTAAAAGTTTAGTTTGAAATTAGCTACTAATACGTTGAAATTATTGTGTTATACAATGTTAATAAAGTTATTGTAATTATAATATCTTTTAATTGATATTTCATGTTTTTAATTAGCTGTATACTTTAGTTAATATGAGCACTTAATTAGATTGTCTTTGCAATTTTACTTAGAATTATTTAATGGCTCAAAGACTAATTATTTATTTCAACAATTCTGTGACAAACAGATTAATTAATTAGTTCAATTTAATTAATAAGTATAACTAGTATTAGTTAGTTTTACTTTACTAAGAAAAACATATGTATATATGTATTTTTTTAACTTTAATAAATATGAGCAATTTATTAATTTAATTAGTTTATTATTTTATTACTTCATTATAAAGACTAAGATTGTGTTTGCAATTTTGCTCATAATGAAATTAATTATTTGCACAAAGACTTATTGCAACTGCTCTATTGCAATTAGATCAATTAACCAGTGTATTTAAATTAATATGTATAACACGTATCAGTTAGTTTTACTTAACTTAGAAAAAATATTTCCTTAGATCTTACTATTTTTTTCTTTTCTTATATACCGTGTAACTTTAAGAAAAATAAGCACTTTAATTAATTTAGATTGCATAATAATTAGTTCATATTAATTAATACCTATAACTTATATTAATTATTTTTGCTTCTAAACTTATAAAAAAAAATACATCTTAAAGACTTAGAATTTTTTTCTTCTTATCTGTTATAACTTTTTTTTTATTTAATTTAACGTATTTATTACCTTATTTAAATCCCGCGTGCTAAGGGATTTTTTTAACCCCCAGGTTCCGCGGTTACCTAACCATAGAATCCTGGTTTAAGGTAACCGGAACCCGAACGTCAGGTAACCGGAATTTGGTAAACCCTGACGCACGGGTTTGGGGTCGGATTAGCTACCCTACAATTTTACAATTAACCCTCTTACCTCGATTTTTTATTTTTTACCATACCTGCGTCTCGAACCTGCTACCATATCCTTCCAATCTTCTATCCCATTCACTCCTCTTAGCCCGCTACCATGCTGATCACACCGAAACACCGCCACAAACTGGCTTATGTAGACTCGATATAGATAAGCCATAAAATAATTCAACCGGCGACGATTTAACAAGTCAAAAGCACAAAAAAAAGCCGAGTTCGTCACCGGTTGTGTGGCGTAACGGTTAGCGTGATGGCTTTGTACCGCAAAGGTAACGAGTTCGATCCCAGGATCGGACGGGAAAAAAAGTTCGTCGTGTTGGCCGGTATACCATGCAAGCGTGCCGGACGTTACGTTGATGTAATTAAGAAAAGCTCCGTGTAGTGAAGGGGTGAATGAAGAAAACCTTCCCTGCCTCGGCACACCCCCAGGCATTGCGACCTGGCGGAGGGTGCCCTAGCGGATTTCTTCACTTTATTTACTTAACTAGACGGCGGGGGGTCGGGAGGCCCCCCCACGCGGGCGCGAAACCGGTCAATCAAGAACCAAGCCAGCCAGCCAGCCCCCGAATTCAACGCCACGCGCGCGCGCGCGTGCGTGTACGCGCGTGTGCGTGCACGTGCGTGTGCGCGCGCGTACCTAGGGGTACAGTATATACATTCTTAAAAATGTACTAGTACGCGTTGCTACGCAACGCGTACTAGTACATTTTTAAGAATGACATTCGTAAGAATGACATTTTTAAATAAGTACGCGTTGCTACGCAACGCGTACTAGTACATTTTAAGAATGAATTTCTTAAAAGTACGCGTTGCGTAGCAACGCGTACTAGTACATTTTTAAATAAGTACGCGTTGCTACGCAACGCGTACTTATTTAAAATGTCATTCTTAAGATGTATTCTTAAATGTACTAGTACGCGTTGCGTAGCAACGCGTACTTATTTAAAAAGTCATTCTTAAAAATGTACTAGTACGCGTTGCTTACAC